ACCATACGGCGTGTGCCGCAAGCGCGCGAGGTTCACTCGGTTCACGATGAAACGTTCAAACGGGAATGGAAAACAACCAAGTTGATTTACAGAGCAACGCCAGTTTATACAGCACTGAAGCAGCGGAATTAACCGGTTAATGCGACAACTCAAGCGAGTTTAATGAAAGGCAAACAGCTGCCGTCTTTACACGTCCCGATGCACGCGCTCCGCAGGCGGGGCGGAGACGTCGGTTTAACGAATCGAATGACCGATCGGATCGAACGAGAGCGGTAAGAGGACAAGGGGCCGCGGTTAAATTTAATTGGCAATTAATGAAGTCGCGAGCGCGATCCTTTAATTATACCACGCGGCGGCTTTCCCGATGTGACAAAATTATTCCCTTTGACGCTCGCGGCGCGTTAATTACGCTCAAACTCCTGCTCTCTTTGCGCGTACGAGTGGTGGCGAGTTGACCCCACGCATATATGGGCGCACCCATTGCGAGCGCAGCCTGCAGCTTCAGAAAGCTCGCTCGCGATACAACAGTATCTCCAAGTTCCGACTAGACGCGCAAACTCTCTCGAGCCGGGCGACTCGTTCGATCGGCGCGTCCGACCGGCCGCGTGCGCGAGATCGCAAATCCCGTTCGATGCATTCGTCTCGAGGGAGGAAACACACACCCGCGAGAAACTTGAGAGCGCACCGCGTCGCGGAAGTCGCGAAGGGAGAGCGTGCGTTAGAAACGCGAGGACCGCGAAGCGACAAGAATCGCCGGCCCGATCGTCCGGATCGCGCGATTGAAGTCCGTGAGCGGCTGCTGCATTCTTCTTGACTTACCTGACGGCGAAGGGATCAGGTCGACGACGTAACACGACCGAGACACGCTGCAGTGCACCGTAGCATGCGTAGTGTCCTCCGTCCTCTCCGTCTTCGCGCACCCTTTGATCACTCGACAATCGACCGAAGGATCCACCCGCCGGGCTGGTCTGTGTCGGGAAAGGTCGACGGTCTCATTGAATTATGAGACCTGAGAGACATAGAAAAAAAGAGGGAGGGAGAGGGAGAGAGAGAGAGAGAGAGAGAGAGAGAGAGAGAGAGAGAGAGAGAGAGAGAGAGAGAGAGAGAGAAACAGGACACACACACAGATGCACGCGTCCGGCACGATGCACGCGTGTCTGATTACGTCGCGACGCCGCGTGCCGACTGAAACCGCCGCCGCCGTCGCCGTCGTTCTTCTGCCGTTCTCCGGCGGCGCCGAGGGAGAGAAGGGCGCAGAGTCGGATGCGTGTTCGGCCGCGCCTGCCAACATCGGTATGCCCGCCGCCGCCGCTGCCGCCGCCGCCGCCGCCGCCGCCGCCGCCGCCGCCGTCGTTCCCACCACCGCCGTTGATACCGCCGTCGCCGCGTTCAACCCCCTCGACGCGCCGCGTCGCGTCGCGTCGCGTCACGACATCGACGCCGACGGCCGCGAACGGTTCGCCAGAGGACTCTCGCGCGGACTCCCGTCCACGTGGTGCGCAACCGTCGGCCGACCGACGACGCCAGGCGTCGTCGAAGCGGGAAACCGTCCCGTTGCGCGTCGCGCCGACAAAGAGACGCGATGCAGCTCCGCGATCGATCCGCTTCCCCCTTTGTGCACCGCGCGGCACTCCAGAGCGAAGGGGGTGCGAGCGAGCAGGGCGAGCGCAACGCTCGGGATAATGCGCGCGACGGGGAGGGGCAGGGGCGGCGGAATCGACGCCGGGAAGATGCGAGGAGAGCGAGGAAAAAGGATGAGCGCCCCGCGCGCTTGCTCGTAAATTTCGGCGCGGAGTTCACGGGCTAGTCAAGGTCACCCGCGATGCTATCCTTCGTTCGTAATTGCAGTTCGCCGCAGAACGAGAGGAAAAAAAGAGAAGGAAAAGGACGCGCGTGGGGAAGCGCGGTGATCGTGGACGTAGGGATGACATCGACGTCGTGGAAGATCCCGAACCCTCGCGAGAAACGGGGAAAGCGGTGAAGAGAGCGTTAACGCCGGTCTTATCGAGATGTATTATAGCTTCCTGTGTCGTTTCTTCCCTTAATCTTCCCGCCGTATTGACAAGACTCGTTACGGGGGACGAGGGGAAGCCGACGGCGCGCATGTACGCGTATGCGAGCGTCTGGATGATCCTTGATACGTTGAGCAGATGATGCGCTGTAGTTTGGGTACTCCGTGGAGTTACGCGAAACAAAGTGTCCGTAGTAAATGAGATTTACGGCACGTTTTCGCCATAGCCCCGCCGCTCGCGTATGTACTTCAATCTAACTTGGAGAATCTTCTGTAGCTCGTACGCGATATAGGCGGCGGGGCGGGGAGAAGGGCAGGGAAGGCGGAGGCAGGATTGTAGGCTAACGTAGGAGCGTAATCTTGTGAATCAGAGTCTAATGGCACAAGGACACCACTCACACACCTCAGCGCAGACTCCTCTCCCCGTTATCTCCTTCGTCGCAGTGCTCGCTAAGAGAGACAGTTTTTACGACCCTTACTTCGTTAAAAGGGAATAAAGCCGCGCTGGTAAATAGGAAGCGAAACGCGACGTGAATGCTTGCAGGCGCGACAATAGTGGATGGACGGAGAAAGAGAGAGGGGGGAGAAAGAGAGAGATAGAGAGAGAGAGAGAGAGAGAGAGAGAGAGAGAGAGAGAGAGAGAGTCGAATGGAAAAAATGGCGAGGAGAGGATAGAGAGGATACTCGAGTGATAGGATTTCGTAGCGTAGGAATTAGTCAAGGTCGCGCGATTGTTCAGCCCGCACAAGCGCACCGGAAGCACCCTGAGAATGGGAGTTTCCGGATGCAATCGAATGAAAGTGGTGTCGTAACTTGGAAGCCGGACTTACTCAAAGTTTTCTAGCACCGGCGATAAATTCTATGGCATATCGCGCGTGGGCTTCGCGCTGTATAATAGTCGCCGACCGACCAGCACGAGGATGGTGATGTAACGGCAACGACGTATTTCATCAATTGTTCGATGACGCACAGCGCAAGTGAGTGCGTCTCTCGTCCGGAAGCTTGATCGATCTATAAACATGTTGCGAACACCGGTGAAGGGAATATTTGTTTGAGAAACACAATCCCGCGTGCGTTCATTCTGCCGAGAGGATTATGTAATACAGATAATCGAAGAAGAGACTCGATTAATGATTATCAATAACCGCAGAGACTCTGAAGCGGCAGAACTGCCGATACAGAATTTAATTGATTACGATTGATGAAACGTCAGATTGCTCGAACGCATCCTATCTACGTTGGCAGCCAAGCACGTTCGCTCACAAGGCGATTGGAAAATCCAAGAGTGCGAAATCCTTCGTCCTTTCTCAAGCGTCGCGCGGGTGGGTAACCTGCAGATTCACCTTGCAGCCTCGCCGAAACGCTCGCAAGTGCGATCACGCGAAACGCGCTTCGCGATCAAGCCGTGCCGCGCGAATACTCTCGCGCGCGCGCGCGCGCGCGCGCGATCCGCTCGAGTCGAAAATTCCTCCGCCGGAATTGGAAGTCCCGGCATTATTGACGCCTGCTGCGTCGCGTGGCAGAAATGCCGGATACGCAGAGGATTCCGGATACGCGTGTTCGTATTTCCTGCGGCTGTCGCGTGGCTGACTGCCCCCTCCCCCCCCCTCGATTGGCTCCGTCGTTTCCGTTCACCTAATCTTGTTCGCCCCATTAATAAAATTCGGCCCTTGCGACTGAGAAGATCCGACTCTCGATAGGCTACCTCGTATTCTCTCTCTCTCCGTCCTCCTCCTCCTCCTCCTCCTCTCTTTCAGTCTCTATCTGCTGCTTTATTCGTCAGACGCGGGGACCCCGGAGATACCGTGTCCCGTTTGGTCACGCGTGGCACGTGCACGCGCCGGGGAGTGAGGTCTCCTCGGGGATCCTCGCGTGTTTTGACTAATGGCCAATTTTGTCCCATTGCTGGCGGTATGCTCTCTCGTCAGGACCACTCATAGTCATCCGCTCGGAGGAGCACCTCGTTCTCGTGCTGTTTCAACCCTTGGCTGCCTTTTTATTTCCTCCTTGCTCGTATTGCGCCGCATTAAGGACGCCGCATTAAGGACGAATAAATCTGCTCGAGAGGAAATGTAATTCCGCACGTACGCTCCTTTTTTTAAAAGAGACTACAGCCTCGTGTGTGTGTGTGTGTGTGTATACGAGCGGGCATCTTCTCCTACGAGAGAAACCCTCCGATGATCGCGGGGCAAATGATGTTGTGAAAGGAATCCTACGCACTCAATAATAGAAAAAACGCTGACGCGAAGGTCTCGGCCACCGTCACGCGTGTCAATATTTTCACCTACATCTCCGCGGACGTCTTCAAACCGATCACGTCCCACGAATTTACGAGCGCGACCGCGGATCTTCGATAAATTATTATTTTATTACGTGCGTGTGCGCGCGCGCGCGCGCATCGGAGCGTTCATCCATCTCCGTCCCCGTGCGACCTCCACCTTTCCGCTGGACGGAAAGGGTCTCCGTAAGGGCGGCCGTATCTGTCCGTTCAGAGCCGAAGCCTCACCTGCGCGGGATTTACGGCAGCATACGCGCCACGTCCATTTGTCCCGGCGGGATCAGTCCTGACTGGATTGATCCCGATTCGCGCACTGGATGCGAAAGGGGAAAGCAGCGGTGCGCGAAACTCCGCTTTCGCCCGGAGGATTTTCGGATTTCGTCACAGTGTAACGCGGATTGTCCGCGGCTTGTGTGCGACCCGGCACGCGGCTGCTAAGCCGCCAACAGCTCAGTCGGTCAACGGCCCGTTTCGTTTACCGGAAGCGGGCCGCGTGGGCTGCGGAATAATCGATGGCCGCGATAAGACGACAAGGAGCCGGGAGGACTTTCCGCCGGGAGCCGGGGACCCTCTTTCTCTCGTTTTTCATCTTTTTCTTCTCGTTATCATTATCATCGTCATCAATATGGACCCTCGCGATTTACCGCGGCGCACCGTGCCCCGACCTTGTCGGCGAGATTTCTCCGATCGACGTCATAAATCCGCAAGAGAAAATTGATTCCAGAGCAGTCGAATAAATTCGCGGAGTCGCGGGAAACGCGCTTTCGGTCTCGGCAGTGCTTTTGGACAAGGGGTCGCGCAGGCAAGCGAAAAGCAATCCCCATATCACTTTCTTCCGATCGGTGGTCTATTTTCGACGTAAGAACTGTAAGGAAATGTTTGCTGACGCGCGCGTGGCTCTCTTCAAGAAGGGTGATGAGTGATGGTTGCGCCCCAAGGGCCGTTTCACGCAGCACTTTTATATTGTCAAATTGCGTATACATTCGTGAGGTGAACACGGTGACTGGCCATGATCGTACCTGTCGCATCGTACGCGTGCGCGGGAGTTTCCGGCAGGTGAAAGACCGACGTTTCGAAAAATAGAAAGACTTGTAAACGAATCGGCGAGGATTCTACACAAAGCGAGTCTTCCGAAGAAGACGCTCGCTGTTAAATCGTAATATCAAATGGAGAGAGGGAGGATCTGGTTGCGCTGGTCACAGGGGATTTTAGTAGATTGCAATGGACCGTAATGGTATTTGTGCGAAGCTACGAATTCGTCGCGCTGGCCACCTTCTTGTCGTTCTCCTCGTCGTCGGTCTCCTCCTCGTCCTCGTCGGCGGATAAATCCGAGGTATTCCCTTCGGCTTTCTTCGTCGACTGTTTCTCGTCAGGCGAGTTCGATCGCGCGCTCTTCGGCTCCCTTTCCACGTCGCCGCTGTGAATGTTACTCTTTGGGTCGTTCTTATCTATCTCGTAATCGTCCACCTCATCCTCGGCGGCCTCTTCGGGATTCTGCGGGCTGGAAATTCCTTTGAGCGTTTTATCGCGCCTCTAGACTCTCTGCTAGCTCGCAGCGTTTATGGCGCTAGACTCTAATTATTTTGCCCAACGAAGAGGGACACACACACACATATATATATATATATATATATGCATGATTATATGCACGTGTAAAAATAATTCGATCGATCGTACGCGTCGAGACGTGCGCACGACGGGGCGAGCGCGATCGCAAAGGCGGGCTGTTTCGCAGCTGAGGATATTTCTTCCCTCTTGATTTTTAATTTAGCTATTTAGCGGGATCCGACGAACCTCCGATAGATAGAACACGTTACACGCGTTAAGACGCGCGAGTTATTCTCTCCGCGAAGCAAACTCTTTATGCCAAGTCTCAACGCAGCTACGTTGTTTCGCGCGTGAAGGCCATCGCGTTCGCAAATTATGTCGCTCCCATGCCGGCGACCGTTTCGCGATCTCCTTCGAGCGACACTCGAGTCGTGATTCGAGGACTGAAAGTAATCCCGAGCTCGCCGTCGGCCTCTCAGTTACCGTCGCTCCGCTCGAATTTGCAATTCATACACGAGCCCTCGCGCGAGCGCGTCCATGTTTCCCTCTTTTTTCGCTCTTACAGTCGCATTGCCTGCCGGACGTTTACCTGCTGTTCCTCCTGCGCGACCTGCTCCTGCTTCTGCTCCTACTCCTGCTCCTGCTCTTCCTCCTCCTCCTCCTCCTCCTCCTCCTGCCCCTCCTGCCCCTCCCGCGACGCGAGTCACTTCTCGACCTCCGTCCTCGCCCTCGTCCCCTGCGTCCCCTCCTCCGTTGCTCCTGCACCTGCAGGTCGTCGAGCTTGCTCGGGCTGCTGCGCAGGTTCTTGTCCTGCTCCTGAGAGACGGTCCTGTCGCATGTGCTTATCCTGCTCCTCCGTGAATCGCTTCTCATCAGGTCCGAGGACACGCGCAGGACTTTGTACGTGGGGTCAGAGGGAATAAGGTAGCCAGACTCAACGCCGAAGTCTAACGCCTTCTTTATGTAACTTCTCGCTTTTCTCGTCCCTGTCGGAGGAGACTCGCGTTATTTAAGATACGAGGCGTCAGGGGGGGGGGGGCCGGGAGAAATTTCGCTGCAGTATATATACCATTGTTATCCTCCCCGTCTCCTTGGAAAGGGACGGTTATTCGGAAAATTTACGTTCCAAGGATCGCGATATTTTCGTTTTTCTTTTTAACAGAATTCTATTAAATCTATTAGCTCGACGTAACTCCGATCACCGGCCGGACGTTCGAACTGCACCGACATGGCTATTACTTTATTCGATTCGACTTGTACACGCCCGGATGAAAGCTGCGATTGAATTCTCAGCGACGGGCGAATTCTGGACAAAATCTACGCGCCGATGCAACGCTATTGAATTTCGTTTCGAGAGCTATGCAGCGTGTTCGAGATCGTCCGGATATTTATAGGAGGCGGCAGAGAAACAAGGTTCCTCCTCGCCTTCTGCGATCGTCGTCGTCGTCGTCGTCAAAGCGACCTCGAGCGCGATCTAAGATCGCACGGTCAATTAATAATTCCGTACCCTCGGCGCCCACGCATTTTTGCAGGTACATGGCCGGCAGGTCCCTCGACGCGGGACGTCGTGTGATGACGCGGCGCTTGGAGACCTTGCCGGTGGTGCTCTTACGGGGCTTGTAACCCATACTTCTGCCGGCGGTTCGCGGAATATCCGCGGAATCTACGACTTCCTCGTGGTCGCGACGCCTTCGGCCGCAGCAACGGCACTCCGTGCTCGCAAAAGCGCGTTCCGAGTCGCGAGCAGCCCCCTCCGCGACGAGAAACTTGAAGACCAACTCGGGAATGCTCGGCTTGCGAGAACGGCGCTCTGTAGATTACGGGCGGGAAGGAAAGGGGTGGGTTAGACTGGAGAGACGATTTGCGTCTACGGGGGAGCCTCGGATCGACGAGCGGTACTCGACGAATCGTGGAGATATCGGGAACGCGCGGCAAATACATGGATTAATCTATTCAACGATGATCTAAGCTACGGGAGAGGAGTTCTCCTCCTCCTCCTCCTCCTCCTCCTCCTCCTCCTTCCCCTCAGCCCTCGCCGATGTCGTTAAATAAGCCAGGTTGATCTGTATGCATTTACGGTTCCGATTTCATTCGGGCGAAATGGGATCGCAGATAATGCCGGTATTATACATAATAAAGTGGATTATTGGTTTCGCATAATTAACGCGATATCTATCGCGTCGGCCGATAGTCGTTAATGCAATTTACCATGAGCGCCGCAATTATTTATGCGCATTCACCGACGCGCGTTGACATTTAGACAGAATCTGCAGGCGAGCGCGACCTCCCATTACGTTTAATTTTCTAAACACACACGGACGCGTGATGAGAGACGCGGACGACACCGACGTGGTTTCTTTTTTTTTTTTTTTTTTCTCTCTCTCTCTTTCTGTTCTGTAGCGCGTTGAGACGATCACTCACTTATCACACCTCGGCGACTTCTCGCGTTTCGCTGTCTCGTTATGCGAGCCATTTTGTGCTTACTGTTGGTTCCGATATCTCCTGGCAGAATCAAGTGGGAAATTTGTTCTTTGGCTGTCGGACACGCCTGCTGAGATTTTTCGGACTTGCCAGATAATCGGTCGTCGGTCGTGGCGCGGAATTTTGTCGAGGAATTTCCAGAATATTGAAGATTAGAAGAGACGCGCAACCGGCGGCTTCTTCGCTCGCCGCTTTCCCTCTCGGTTCTCTTGTCTTTTATTTAACAACGCAAAGTCGCGTCCGCTCATCATTTTTATATATCGCTCGTTCGAGCGATCGACGCTTGTCGTCGACGTGAACCTCACCGACAAACCGCGATGAACGACGCGTTCGCAGGCGTTGATTTCCGCGACTTTTCTCTCTGTGTGCTGAATTTTCTCATCGCGCGTGCGACGATGTTTGCGATTCAATCGCGAGGTAGACTCGATAGCGACAATTCCGCTGTCTGTTGATACCGCGGCACGCGTGAGATCTGACATGTAGCGTACGTATTTAATCGCGGAGTGGAATTGAAACGCTCGCGGCAGCGGCGGTCCGTCGCGTTCGATCGAAACGGCAACGGTTTGGTTTGGTTTCGAGCTAACGATCATTCGAGCATATCCCCGATCGTGGGTGTTTTCTATTCAACAAACACCCTACATGGCTCCGTGTTTTTAACGCGAACGAATGGAAGTTGAAAAACCTTTGCGTTTAATGCCAAAGAGACCTTTTTGCGATACTCAACATTTGTTCACATTTGTTCAACACATTTGTTCATAGTGCTTTGCATTTCTGTCCCCACGCCTTCTCTGGCTATTTATTTATTCATTTTTATCGCAAGCACAATATAGGATATTATCGTATTCTCTCTCTCCCTCTCTCTCTCTCTCTCTCTCTCTCTCTCTCATTTTATGCAACTTGACGCTAACAGAAAATCCTGTCACGAATAAGACTCTTAAGAAATTTTTAGTTAAAAAATTACGTATATATTTTTTACATAAGTCTTTTCCTCTCCAAAATCAAGGAGACCGTGAAACACGGAAAGAATTACGTGCTTACGGTACAAAAGTGTGATTTAAAAAACGGATGTATAAAGTGCATATAACAAATACATTCTACAAGCAATAGTCAAGACGGTACAAACACGAGGAGCTCCTCGCTCCCGAGGAAGACACCGGGGGGAGTGCAATCCGGATGGGCGATCAATTCCTTAAACACCCGTTTCGCCGGTGGTGCCATCCGCGTCGCGCTCGACACTCGTGTCTTCGGACTTTTCGTTATTGTCATCGTCGTCGTTGTCGCCGTCGTCGTTATCGTTGTCGTTGTTACGCTCGACATCGCGATCGTCGTCGACATTCATCCGGGTCTTTTGCATCTCCATCCTCGAGTCGTTCTCCCGACGCGGCGGCGTCGTCGTCTTCCGCCTTCCGTTTATTGCCCTGTAATGATCTTCGTCGCTTTCACGCCGAACGCGATCCCGGACGTCTGCGTTCTCGTAACTCTCCACGGCCGACGGCTGGTGATTATCCGCGGCTTGTCGCGGAGACAAAGTCGTGCGACGTCGTTTGACTGGCTTTCTGACGTCCTCGTTGTCGCCCCGTCTTCGCTGTCGTCCTCGCTTATTGTCGGCCCTCTCGTTGGTTTTGCTAAGCAAACCACGGCCCGAATAAGTGAAATTTCGCTCGCGCCAGCGGACACACAAGGAGAACACAGAGCACGAAAAAGTTCAAAACAATATAGGTCGCGGACGTTGCGTCAGCACCGCTAGAGAATGCAGCGCGAGGGAACGAAAAATTCGATTTCGTCGTGACGTACATTTTTATCCTATCAAGGTACTCCTGATGCGTTTAAGTCTGTTAAGACATCCATGTTGCGAGCTGAAGTCTATTAAGACTCCTGAAATAAGATCCAACTCTCCTCGAGGCGCATCACTTGTGGGATAAAAATGGAAAAAGAGCCGGGTGTTCACAACGGCATGAATTCACAAAAGAAGGCACAAGAGGAAGAGCTTGAATTCGACGGTGCTTTCGACCGAGCTTCGCGCGGAAATGCTGAAACCGTAAAGCCGATCCGCGGCAATTAATTCTTCACGAGACGCACGCTGAAAAAATAACTATGATGCAGCGACGAATACGATTCGCGCGAGATTAGAATGCAGCGTAGGCGGATAGCACGAAGTTAATGAAATTGCCGTTTCACGACGGAGAAAGAGAGAGAGAGAGAGAGAGAGAGAGAGAGAGAGAGAGAGAGAGAGAGAGAGAGAGAGAGAGGGGAGGAGAAGGCGACCCACCTATTTTTACGCGCGTCTTCGCCGCTCCTCGAATTGTTTTTCTCGCGCTCGGGTCTCGATCGTCCGGGCGATTTTCTCAGGCTGTCGTTTTTCGCGTTCAAGCTCCTGTCGCGACTCGCGGTGGGGTGTCTCCTTCTGCTCGATGCCGTCGCGTCGTCCACGGGGATGTCGCCGCGACGCGACGTCTTGCCGATCGGCGCTCGCCGACGCATCGCTCTCCGTTCGCCCGTCGTCGTCGGTCGCGGCTCGCCGCGCCGGGCGATGCGCCGTTTCCGCCGAGACTCCGCGTCGTTGATCTCGCTGTTCATCAGGGTCGGGCGTACGCGCAGCACGTTGCCCTGCGCGTCGGCCGGAATCAGGTAACCCGATCTCATGCCGAACGACAGCGCCTTGCGAATGTACTTCTTCGCCTGCCGCTTCCCTGCAACCGAGCGCGTCTTCGTCGTCACTCGAGAACTTTGACCTCGCGGTCAAAAGCACTTTTATGTACAGCGACGTGGAATGATAGGTCCCACGGTGCAGATGCACCGAACGAGCTCCGGCACCGTCGTGCGATTCATCGAGTCGCACACAACACACACACACATACTCGTTCGATGCACCCACCCGGGGAATTGTCGCCGCTTGCTCATGTGAAGGCTGTTGTGCCGCGAAGTGTCACCTTTTTCTACTTTTCATTCCCTTTTCAAGTTCCGTAATCGAGCATTCCGTGAATAAGCGTCGGACGATATAAAGTACATGGAAACGACTGGATGAGTCATTTCACGTTCGTGAGAACATAATTTGCAAAGATCTTTAAAGGTCTCCGCGTTCCTTTTTCGTGGGATGCTGCAGCGTAGATTTCTTTATGATTCAATTGTGTTACCGCAAAAGCTCGGCGCGTTCTTCGAAAAGAAAGATCCGAGGAGCCTCGTTACGCAATGAACGTCAAAGGCTGAGGCTGCCTACATTTATTTGGCTACATTTATTAATCCTCAATGAAAGGCCAATTTAACGATGCGCTGATACGATGTGACTGAAAGGTTCTTCTTGGAAACGCACCTTCCTCGATGCCCGCTTTGATGTAACTGTTAATGAGCTGCACTAAGGACTTCTTCTTGAGGAGCGCTCTGGCGCTGTTGAGCGAGTTTACCAGCTTGATCGGTTCCATCGAGATATTCGATACGCTGCTGTTGGCGGAACTCGTGGACGCCGAGCTATTTGCAGCATCCGTCACCTCCGTCAGGCTCTCGACAGACGTGGGCCTAGAATCCGCCATGTATTCGGGCACTCGGATGGATTCCGCGCTATTGTGGCGCTCGAGCGGCTCGCACGAAAGCCTTTGCTGCTCGCGACATCCCCGCATTCTTCGCGGAAGTGTGTCGAAGCGTTCCGGAGATCTCCTCGCGTCTGCGAAAAACAAGGCCCACGACGTCATCCTCACCTCCGTCCTTTCAAAACACACTTTGAAATTTCTCAAAACTCAATTACCGTGATTACAGCTGTATTATGTTGCGTGTGATTGCAACAAGTCAAATTCGACATTCTCATTACTCATCTCGTACTACGCTTAGCTCCTCGAAGAGAAATCAAAGCGGGTGTTGCTAATCCCTGAATTCTTACAATATCACAAGGCGACCGACTCTTTGGAAATTTTAGACGTCGACGACTCACACAAGAGCATCGATTACGTTCGCATACAGCGCACATAGAACGACCGGCCTTCCCCATCTCCGAGAATCCGATCTCACCGATTCATTCTAACTTCATCGTCGCGACGCTCAGAAGTGGAGATACCGGCCGTTGCGTCGGCTGGCTCGGCGCTGCCGAAGCAGAGCGGCACGTGCCGCGTTCCGCACGTGGCCGGAAGAGGCCCGCAAGGCTCCTCAGAAGCGTTACCGCGCACAGGTTACTCCGGCGCATTCCACTGTCCCCCAGGAAGCGCGCGGCCTTGCCCCCACCATTGTTTACGTCCGCGTGGCCTCGACGCACGCGGTGATTCGTTCACCCCACTCATCGACGAGAGCGGTCAGTGCACCGCGCGTTTCATAATACACAGAGAGAGACGCAACAAAAATATTTTCTTACAGCTTAGTTCCAACGAAATGTTTTTGTTGCGTCAAACAAAACTTTGTTCGATCAATCAAAAAATTTATTTGGACTATTCCAAATAAGCATTTGTTAGACTCAACTAAATCGTTCTCTCTGTGTAGTTTCTACAAGAGGGGATGTTGACTGACGTCGACTCGATGGACCGAAGGTTCCGCGGGGGCCTTGGCTCGCGGACGGGCCGACGTGGCGACGCGAGACGAGAAAAGCGATCTTCTTGGTGTGTTCCGCCGCTTTTCCCATCGTCGGCTCGGAAAATCACCGCGGCGGAACGTCGCGACGGATAGAGAGAAGCGAGTTGGGGAGACCTCCGTACTTGAAGCGCTCTCTCCCTTCTTGTTCACCGTCATTACACTTTGTAGGTCGCTCACGGAAAGTGTGTGACGGAAAGTTGAAATCGCGGTTACGGAGTTAAGGTTAGACGCTGCCTCGCGACGTGGACTTGAGATAATGTGAGCGATGCCGCGGCGGTAATCCACGGCCGGCGTGCGACGCCGCTGAGGTCGCGTACCTCGGTTGTATTTGTCGACGGTGAGCAGCTCGTAGACCAGCCGAGGTATATCGACGGACTCGTACGGTTGTCTTCTCCGGTACGGAGTGCTCGCGCGTTTACGGCCCGTCGTCGTCGCCGGTCTCCCTCGAGAGCGAACCGCCGGCCGCGTCACTGTGCGTTCCGCTGTCCGTTTCTTCGCGGCTCGGCCCTTCGCTCTTCCCTTTGACGACGCCATTGCTTGATATACTGCGAGTCCTCCTTCGCGGTGAGCCTCCGTATCGCGAAGCGGAGAGAGAAAGAGCGCGCGATCGCGCTCACGATTGGACGACGCGCTTTTGTCGTTCCGCTCTTCTCGCCGAGAAAACCCCGGCAATCGGCGATTACTTCGATCGTTCTGCGTTCGATCGGCATGCGATTTCGGCACAAAGTTACGGCCGCTGAAACTTTGCAGCTTACAATTGCGTTAAATCGCTCGGGGCGATTAATCGTGCGCGTTGGGAAATCTCTTTTCAGAAGGTAGCTTGCGATGAAACGTAAAAGAGGTGTAACGATATCAAGTAAGAACTATCTCGCTATATCTTCCGCTTAAGAGCGACTGGCCCATTTCTCACGTTTAATCATGCACGTTATACGGCGCGTTATTCTTCATCGCGGAGGATCTAACGCGATGGATCTGCACAAAAGCCCGAAGCCGCTCTCTCGAATCACGCTCGCGTGATGCTTTATTACCCTGTACAGCGTCCGTGAGTTGTTCCCGGAACAATAGCGCGTTATTAAAGCTCGCTTTCGGGCTAGCGTTGACGAGAGAGAGAGAGAGAGAGAGAGAGGCGAACGAAAAGTTCCCAGCGTGGCGTCGCCAACGTCGTCGCTCGATCTATCGCACTTTGATTGTTCTCCGCGCGAACTTTGGCAGCAGATTCCGCGGTCAGCTGGCTGAAGATATTACGCGCCGTGCAGGTTTTTCGGCCATCCGACTATCGATCATCGCGCGATAACGCGTCGCCTCGTCGGCATCTGCTAATATTCAGCGCTGCCTTTCAGCTCGATTTGGATAATTTCAACAGTGCTTTCCACTCGGCCAATCTCGCAGATTGGCCATCTAGTTCCTGCTTCACGCCACTGTGAGGCTCCGGCCGCAATATGCACAAGTAGATCTCGAAACGAAATTGTCTGAGACCGAGATCGCACAGGCCGTAAGAGCGCGATCTCGGTCTTGAGCTGAAGCGGGAGCAATTTTCGAGCGCTTTTCGAGAAAGCGTATGCAACACTCGAGACGCAGACTGCAATTCTAGATATTTCGCGTGTTCACGCTCACGCGCGCTCGTCGAGCCGCAAGGAACTTATCGGTGGGACCTAGCACCGTGTATCTCATTAGCGAGCATAAATTGTCGTATTACGTTACAGATGATTATGCGAGTCGCGGATGAACGCTGCAACCTTGGATCCTCCCGCAGCCCGAAGCTATCGTCGTTTATACACCCGGGACCGTGGATTTAGTAAACTCCGGCAGCCGTTCGCTTTCTCGGAAACGAACGCGTGTCTGCAAACGCCGGGGAACTATTTGTGTAAATCTCGGAGGATGAATGTCTCGGGAGATGCGAATTTACAATGCGCGGCCACTTTTATCGTGCGATGAATATCTGACACACGGACGAGATGAGAGGAAAAACGAGAAGAAGTAAAAAAAGAAAAGCGGGACCGATAGGGAAATCATAAATTGTCGATAGAGAGGAAAACATCGCCGCGGGGGCTCACGTGGACCGACGTGGAGCGTCTTACGTAATTTCTTTTAAGCTCGCTCAGAAATACACGTGCCAATTTATGTAGCGAGCTATGAAGAAGGAAGCACGACGGCGAAGCGCAGCGCTCGCTCGAGCACTCTCAAAACGTGCGCGACCGACGCGACGCTTTGTCCCGCGCGGTCTTTCGTAATAATCCTCCGCGGAACGCGAAACGGGATCGCGAGTCGTTGGCTTTGTTTTTTACACAATATTTTCCACCCGAGAGAATCGACTTTGGGAGAGTGGCGGCGAGAGAGAAGAGCGAACGTCGGCGACACCGATACCGATCGGGACTGTTCCTTCCGATCGGCGATACCGATGATTCGATTTCGAGGAGTTGCCTCTCGCGAGTTATGCAAGAGAGGAGAGTCCTGAGATGAAATAAGAAACTAATCCGATACTTCATCGTCCGTTATCATCCGATTATAAGTTGGTAAGGATTACATAATACTGCTGCTTCCTGTTCTTGGTACCGGTTGCATTCTCCGCTCGCGAGAAAACGATCCAAATTATCTCGAGAGCCAGATGAATCCAACCGGAGAGCCTGACGCGGATGAAAGTCAGAACTTGACAATTGGGATAATAACATGCTATAAGTTATTAGCTATAGCTTAGCTATAAGCTAAGATTAAGAGGAAAATATTATACACATATTATTCTGAAGGTTAGAGGAATTATATGTTGTATGTATAATGCAAATCTGATTGATTTTAATATAAATTTCCTCTTATATACACATTATTTAATCTTTCTTTAAGAAGATTATTACTTGTTCTTACTGTACTTTATTTTTACTGGTTATATTAGTTAATTTGAAGGAATTATTATAATGTATAGCGAAAAGTAATATATATATAGATATACTTCTGGCTCCAGTTCTACAATGAATAATTAATAATAAATAATTGATATAAGAGAGAAACAACTGGAATGTTGTCTGATAAATTTTAGATGAACGGTTTACTTTAATCGGTTTACCGAGAGAGGAATTCTTTTTCTGTAAAAGCCTTCGCTTAGAATATGATGAGACTATGGCAAAAATCACTTTACACGAATAGAATACTTTTTTCTGGATGTATCCCAGATTTATGTTCAAATCTTTTTTTATTCTGACTTTGAAACTTTTATATACTTTCTTTCAATTTCTCGCGAGGTACGTGAGAGATTTACGAACATCGTTCCGCCTCTTCTGGAAAAGATTAAACGTAAACATTTGTTCGAAATTGCCAATCGCGACATGTGAGTGATAATTTCAATGCGACGCGGAGAGCGTATTGCTATATTCTGTATTTATGCGGCATTATGAGATGAAAATGAGGAGAGAAAAGGGAAGTGTGACAAGCACGCCCGCGAGAGAGACCATTTTTCTACCTTTGTCGCAACGTAACGAACTTAACCCGATCGAGCTTGCGAAATAACTACCGCGTCCGCCATAGCGATACTCATGTCCTGAACGTGAGGACGCTTTTTATCGGCTACGTTTTTTTTTTAAATCTCGCCACTTTTCGGCTAATACGATTGAACGCGATCGGTTCTACCGGCCGAATGCTGACCAGAGTTCCATGAGGGCGCACACACGTACGCACGCACCTGTCGTTCGCGTGTGTGCGTTCATGCACACGAGAAGCGGCTAAGTCGGTTAGCATCGATCAAACGAGATAGAATTCTCTAGCTTGACACATTGCTTTGCGTTCTACGTCTCTCTCTCTCCAATTACTATTGGGATACTGTGTATACACGTAACAGCGAGGTCCTCCAGATTACCCGAATCCTTTCGACCTCAGATTAGATTTGCGGGTTCCCCCAATGGAATCGATCTTCTCCTCCAGTCGGATTGGATTTTTGCCTACCTCCCGAGTTTACAAATTCCCAGCTTTCAAAAGTGAGAAAATTAAAGCCCGTTAATTTAAGCAAGAACCAACAGCGCTTGTGTTGCCGACTTGTCGTCTGCGACATAAAAACTCACTGATTTATCTAGCGGACGAGAGATATTTTTGTTCGAACACTGCCGTGCGATTCTCATATTCCACATGACTCGAAAGCTCGTCTGAAGGCGCGCCTTTAAGCTCCGCTCGCGTGGAACGGTTGCGTGGTATCGCAGCAACGTTCCTCGGCACGAAGTAATCGCGTTACGCCCGACACGTGTCTGGCCTAACTTCGATGCCAGACTCAAGGTCACCGGACGATCGGCCTGTCGGCGATCCGTCCGCAGGTATCCATCAAGCCCCCTGATTTATTGGACACTTGTGGCGCAAACTTGCCCCGAGATTCAAGGACGTAGCGCGAGCGCGAGCGCA